TAAAACATGTTATGAGCAGTTGCACAGTAATGTTTACTAGGGCTGTGTGAAGTTTTGGTCCCTGATTTGATTTGGCGGAGATTCGGCCCACTTCAGTGGCTGAATCTCCAAATTCGAATCAAATCAGGAGACCTTTTAATCTCTCCAAATCAATTTGGAACCCTCCGAATTGATTTGGAAAGATTCAGAAACATTCAGTGATTCAGGCAGACACAGCTTTCAATGTTTTTTCTACATACCTCAAGGTAGCAGGCTGCTCATGAATGCAGTGATGGTGGGGCGGGTGGAGCATCCCACAGGAGCATGGGGGGGTGGGTCCCCAGCACACTCAGCAGCAGACCCGGAAGTGAACCAGAAGCACTTCTGGTCCACTTCCAAGTCTACCAGGGAGCATGCAGTTGGCTCCCCCTCCCCCAACCCCCTGGCTTGGTGACTAGTGCTTCCTGGGTCTGGATCCCCCCACGGCTGATCACTGAGCCAGGAGGGCATGGCGGGTGGGGCAGCATGCTCGGCGGCAGACCCAGAAGCAGACCAAAAGTACTTCTGGTCCACTTCTGGGTTCACCGCTGAGCATGTGGGGGGCCCCCTTGCGCTCCTGTGGGATGCTCCATCCACCCCACCATCACAGCATTCACAAACCACACCTGGTACCTCAACATATGTAAGAAAAACATTTAAAGCTGTAAGTATGGCTGAATCACTGATTCTCTGAATCAGCATCGAATCTTCAGATTTGGATTCAGCCAAATCGAATTAGGGACAGTGATCTGAATCAACTAATCGAATCACTGTCCCTGATTCAGGCCGAATCTGAATCGAATATGGTCTGTTTTGCACACCCCTAATATTTTCTATAATCTCTCATATGCATAGCCCATGCTCTGCCACTACAGGGCCCCTAAACAGGGGTCCTGGCATGATTTTCTGGCACACCTTGTTCACATATTTCTGACAGTGGCGGAAAATTTCTGAGCACAGAGGAAAGTACTGATTTGCTGACCATCTCGCTGAGGATATGAATTTCAATCCCTTCTTGGCCAGTGGAGAAGAGATCTTCAGCCCCTCCCTGATCAACTGTCCCAACTGGGATAGTGTCTCTAGCAGATTCCTGGAGAATGGCAAGTGGCAGAACCAAGCAAATCATTGCCTTAGCTGCTATAATCCACAGGCACTCTGTGCTTCGGTGGCACAAGCTCCTGGCCTGGGTGAGGCACTACTTTGAGGACTGTTATCATGGACATCAGGCTGACCCACTTGCAAAAGACACAACATGATGCTATCCAAACCAAAGCACTGTCGGCCTGGTATTAAATGCCACCTCAATGCTGCTGGGCACTACTAGTGAGCACTGACTGGTGGGATAAACTCATGCTTGAAACTTGGGACTTGCCATGGAATATTCATAGACTTTTGTGCTGAGTTGTGTTCTTACTGTAGTACAGTGACATCAGGCTTCTATGCCTCATGCCTGTCAAAAGACACATGGCTCTGGTGATTTGGAAGTTGATGCATGCTAACAGCATCTGTTTCATCACCAAGCAATTCAGAGTAGGGTGAACAATGACCTATTGAGGAGCTGGGACCTCAGTTCATTGGCTCAGGGATCTTGCACAAGGTCATCACCAGATTTGAACAGATGGGCTTCCTTAATTGCATGAGGGCCATTAATGAGAACCACATACCCATTCTATGCCCTCTTCATCATGCCTTAGATTATATAAACAGTAATGGGTTCTTCTCAGTTATACTCCAGGCAGTTGTGGACCATGGGAATGCTTCACTAATATCAAGTTTTGGTGGTTGAGTCACCTACCATGTATTCAGGAACTCCAGTTTCCTGGAGAGAATAAAGTGCCAGGCTTTACCCCAGGGCGCCCCCTTTAGAATCATAGAAATCATAGAAAATTATGGTTGGAAGGGACCTCAAGAGGTCCTCTAGTCCAACCCTCTTTTCAAAGCAGGACCATCCCCAACTACATCCTTCCAGCCAGGACTTTGTCGAGTTCAGCTTTAAAAACCTCCAAGGATGGAGATTCCACCACCTCTCTAGGTAACCCGTTCCAGTGCTTCACCACCCTCCTAGTGAGGGAGTTTTTCCTATCCAACCTAAATTTCCCTTGCTGCAACTTGAGCCCAATGCTTCTTCTCTGTCATCCTTGTTCTGCTCCTTGTACTCCAGATTCGAACATTGAATGCAAAGTACAGTTCCTAATCAAGATTCAAAGGACCAGCATCTAAAGTCAGGCTGTAATTTATTAACTTCTGCACTCACAACATAGTAAATAAGAAGTCAGACACAATGCAAAACACTAATATTGAGACCTAAAGGCCCCTCAGTAAGACAGAAATTTACCTCAGGCTATAATGGGTGCACCTTTTTCTAAACCCTATGGGAAAAGAAAGGGAGCAGCCTTGAGGAACAGTCCCAGAACTATTTCTCTCATGTTTATTTTTGTAACATGTAGACCTGAGGGAAGAAACTGTTGACCTATGGCTTTCTATCAGGATGGATAAAAATCAACAATTAAAAAAAATATATATCAGATTTTTTCTAATTTAAAAGATTTTTTTATTTAATCATATTTTTTTGTTAAGATGCTTTTTAAATTTTAATTTAAGATACGTTAGACTCAAAGATATCATCATGGAATAATAGAGGTGCACTGATACATCGGTGCCATATTGGATTCGCACCAATATAGGTAAAATTGACAGTACTGACAACCGGCTTTTTTTGTCTGATATGGCCGATAACATTCCCAATAAATGTCATTGTGCATGTGTGCAGATGCAGCACAGCATGCAGACAGCTAGGAGCACAGCCCATCAGTATGGAGAGCAGCTGGGTTCAGCTGGCAAGTCTATTGTGAGGGAAGGGGCATTGGGGGCGGGGGAAGAGGAGCAGATCACAGCCCCAGCGGTGGGGGAGGGAGTGGGACTGGGGCTGAGGCTGGGGTTGGGGCAGAGGCAGGTGCTGTACGCCTGGGGCAGGTGCGGGACAGAGCCATGAGCAGCTCATGTGAGGGGTGTGCAGCGTGGGGGGGGCTTTATATTTGAGGCATGGCGGGGGCCTTTATATTTGAGTTGACTAGCCATCCTCCCCCTTGATCATCTGGGACCTGGCCTACTGACTTCTCCCCTGGCTTATGAACCCATACACTGGATAACTGGACCCCAGGAAAGAGTTCTTCAAAATTACAAGTCGAGCAACTGTCAGATGGTGGTGGAGTGTGCCTCTGGGTGCCTAAAGGCATGCTGGACATCCCTGAGGATCTTGAATTCAGGCTGAGGGACATTCCCAGTTTTGTGGCCACTGACTAGATCCTCCAAAATTTATTTGAGGTGAAGAGTGAAGCCTTCCAGAAAACTGGGACAGCTCCAGATGGACGCACAGAGGAGGAAGCCCCTGGCATTTGGACAGTGGATGAGCTGAAGTGGTGCTCCCAGTTGAGTATCCTGAACATAACCACCAGCAGGCCATTCCAATTAGGGATGCCTTGTCTGACTACTCTCTGGGACAATGTTCTGCCAGGCAGGAGGAGGTACATGGAGACCTCTGAGTGACTGTGAACCCTTCATTCACTGCAGTGCACCTTTAATAGTGTGTCATCTGCTTTTTCAGAACATCTCAGTAAATATCTTTCATGTTAATCATTGGATTTGACACTCCCAGACCCCCAAAAACATTACCAATCACCCTTTCCCCAGAGTTGATGAAACTTACTAAGAGCTGGCATGGTGTTGTTTCTTACTGCTCAATGAGGGTCTCACTCAAGTTGTCCCCACCTTGTGTGTCCTGAGTCAGGGTCAGACTAGTCACAGCTTTGCTGGAGAACGAGTCCATGGTTTAAGCATGCTTATGCTTCTCCACAGCTATTTCAGGAGAAGGCAGCAGAGAGGCAAAGCCATTGTTGTCTTTGTCACCATTATGCTGCCCCAGACCTATGAGCGTGCAGTGCAGAGTGTGGCAGGGAGCAACAATATGGTCCTCCTTGAGGATTCTGGATAGCTCCTAGTGGTAGGGGACCATGCTCCTCTCAGCACAGGAGACCTTGGCATCCATTTCCCAAAAGTACTGTGACATCAGGCACTTTTAGTGTGGGTCTCAGCCAGTTCCATTGGTGCCCCCAAGGCACCATCTGGGCTGCAATGCACTTGTAAACCACTTGGTGTTGTTGGCTGCCCTTCATGCCCCTGGTAGCAGTAGCAATGGTTCTCTCTACTCCTCAGATCATGATTAGGTTCAACACCCCATCACAATTCTAGTTCAAATCCTGCATGCTAGGATCTGAGGAGGGCATTCTCTGGTGCAGTTTGGTTCACAAAGCTAGCTGACTGCTGTTCACACCAGAGTGCTTGAGAAAGTGGTGGGCCTCAGCAAACCTTGAGAGTGTCAATGGTTGCTTGAGGAGGTGTCATGTGGGCCGGGTTCACACCCTGACGGGGCAGCTGGGAGTGTCACTTTGGGGTTGGTACCACCCCCATCGGGCCATATATCACCCCCCTGGGCAGTAGAGTTCTGGCAGGTGGATAGACCACCCCATAGAGCTAGAGTGGGGGGCTAGGAGTGGTGCAGCCTGGGATCCTGGAGGATTGCAGATTGCTATATATCTCTGTGGAGTAGTCCAATGATAGTTGAGCATATGTTACTTAATACCATCCAGAAATACTCCTCACATGAAAAGTCATAACTTTGCTATGATACTACCACACTGAGCACATCTTTTACTGCTTAAATGCACAGTTGCTTCCATCTGAAGTACATCAAACACATACTAAGTATAACATGCGACATGGCCCTGGCTGTCTTTACCTTTGCTTATTGTTGTTTTAGGCTGTTGACTGTACTAATGATTTAAAGAAATAGTCTTCCCTGCTATCATTGCAAATCAGATGCTTCACTGAAGTCAGTGGAATTCTACCAGTGTGTAAAATAAATGAGCATAGGGAAGCACAGAAGCTCCCATGATTCTGGCACTCATCAAATATTGGCATTACAGATGACTTAAAAAGCTGTTCAGATTCCTGAGGAGACTGAGACTTCTGGACTGAAAGAGGTGACCCAGAAGGACTGTACACACTTCAGAAGAACATGGAAAACACCATGCAACTTCCCTTTACACTGAGAACAACACCTCATGGTCTCAGTCCCATGAAGATATATGACCTGAGCTGCCATCAGGAAGTCCTGTCACTTACTGTCCTCTCCCCAGACTTACTGAGGATTCTACATTGGATTGGTGCTGCAAGCAGCAGATAGTGGTGATTGGTGACCAAGACCCCCATGCTGCATGGTGCTCCACATAGACAGGCTCCTGAACCTGCTTGGAATACCAACTAAGTCAGCTGTGCCTGTCCAAATAGAACAATTTACAGATTTGGGGCCCGGGTTTCTACAAGTTTGCAGGTACCATTTTTAAGTTAAAGTCTCTGGAGTGATCTGTTTTTGGCATTTGTTAAAAATAATAATAAAAAAAAATGTGGCAAAGCCCTCTGCACTTCCTAATATCAATGTGCATTCTATTTGCAGAGTACATAGTTGGTAGAAAGCCCGTATTCCTGGCCTTTAGCAAAAGAAAGAATTTCAATTATTCCATAACTTTACAGAATTGGGAGGCACTACGGGCAAGAGCAAAGGGTTGTCCTGGTCCATACATGGGGGTAACAATTGCACAACTAAATGAAAAACACACACATGTTATAGGGGGAAAACAGTATACAACTAATACAAATTGTCAGGGGATGCAGTGGCACAGATGCAACCCCCTTTCAGTTGATGACACCACAGAAGCAGCAACTAGGGACTTTTTTATGTCCCTGAATTGGGTACGAATACTCTCCTCCCCACATGCTCCGCAGTACCTTCCCTCTCCTCCCCTTCTCTCCCCGCTACCCCTGTGCACCACTGTCACTGTCTTTGGAACTAGGGACAGACATTACACATAAACTGGTTTAAGTGATCAGAAACTGGTTTTAACCTGTAACAAAACAGATGTTCAGTGCACATAAACCAGTTTGAGAATGGCTGAAACCGGTTTGAGATAAACCTGGTTGAATGTAGTATCAGGATTAACTGATTTGGTTCAAACCATTTTATGCCATGTCTGTCCCAGACATTTAAGATCAACCAGACACCCCCGGCATCCTGGTATGCTCTCTGGGCTGGGCAGGGCTCTCTGCTCCACAGGAGGCCTGGCTCTCCCCTCGGCTTCCTGGCTCCAGCTCCAGAGACTGTGGGCTGCTTCCCCCTCCCCTCACCAGTCCCTGGTAAGCAGGAATTCCCCCCTCCCCTCTGCCTTGCAGAGAGGTGTCTGTGTATTATCTAGCAGACCACATGCTGGCTACAGTCTGTGCTGAATCAACAGGCAGAATCAACAAGTAGCTGGTAATGTCCCTCTGTTGTTTTCTTAACTGGGTGATAAACACTGCTATCAATTCCCTGCTGGGCTAATCAGAGTGTTCTGCCAGAACCTGGCCACATCCCCATCAGCTCCATATTGTGGAAGGAAGGGAGGGCTGCTCTAGCACCCCCCAGCTTCTAACCTGAGCCACTGCAGGCATGTACCTGCATTTCTGGGATGTCTGTCCTGTTAAAACTGATTTAGCATAGCCAGGTTAGACTAACCTGCAAAGATTGAATCAATTCAGGCTCAAGCTTTTTGAATGTCTGTCCCTAGGCTGTCTGCCCTGGGTGGGGAGAGCAGAGGGAGGCTCCAGACCTGCTTCTGTCTATGCCAGCTGGGCTCTATGGAGAGCTGGGCTCAGTGACAGACAGGTTTCCGCTCTGTGTCTGCTACACTGTATGTTCCCTGACAACCGGGGAGTAGGCATCAAAGCAGGGAAGCTGCTTGTTCCTGCCACTGCTGCTGCAGTCCCTCATCCAGCCTGGATCCACACGCAGTCTGGCTTGAGCAGGACAAGAGCAGCTCTAGAATCTCTCTCAAACCCTGAACCCAGAGTCACCCCTGCTGGAGACAGCAGCAGTGGTGGTCAAAGGATGGGGGGAAATGGGAGGGGACATTCATGACTGGGAAGGAACAGGGAAGGGAAGATTCTTACCTGATTGAGGGACCCTGTCTTCTGGTCCCATGGTGCTGGAGGAGCTGGCAGGAGAGAGGGTACTGGGAGCGAGAGGTGCAGCGCCGGTCAGTGCTCCCACACCTCCCTTTGCAATGTCCTGGATCCACCCCTGCCAACTGTTTGGGTTTTTTCCCCTTAATTCCTCTGTTGTTATAATCTTCAGGCATTAGCATTATCTTGCAAATAGTACAATGCTAATACCTAGGTCCAACTTCAAAATGTAGTTGAAAATGAACAGCCCATTCGCAGGGGGGGGGAGTTTAGCTGCATTCTTTTCTTTTTTTTTTATTGCCAAAAATCCCGAAGTGGGTGATTATATAAAGGGAAGGGGAGAGGATTTCTTCCCACCTCTATTCTGATGCTAGAAAAGAAAGAAGGAAGGAGAGAATGGGCTAAAATCACCAAATCATTTCAATGTTCAGTACTTCACTTTCTGGTCCTACTTGATTGAATATGCAGAAACCAATACAGCTGCAGCAGAACCCAAAACTCAGCTACTTTTTTCCATTATTAACCCTGAAGTCTTTTCATTTTGAAAGGATTATTCTTACTGAACTTTGGAATGTCAACCAGCATTACTAAATCTGCACACGTATTGCAAATAATACTCATATAAGCATTTGTATATATAAAAGTCAGGAACTTGTTATAATGATAAATGGGTACCCCTTCTTTATTTGCTTTACCCAAACATTTCTGGGACTGAAATGTCATTAAAAGGAAAATCAGTAGAAAGAGAAAATTCACACAAATTGTTAAGACATGTGCATGCATACCAGAAGTGTGGTCTTGAAAGCTATCTTAGTTTGGGAGTCATTTAGTTTTGCCACATGCAAAATGGGAGATAGAGGAAGGAATAACCAACCACCTGCCCTCCCTCAACCCCAAATATCACATAACTCTAACAATCCAATCAAACCATGCAATGAAGTGAATTATAAAGCAATAGTCACCATAACTTGTTTGGAATAACCATAGAATGAAACATTAATATAAACCATGTACCTAATCATTAATATAGACCATTTACATTGAAATCTGTGGCTAATTCATGCAAACTATGGCTAATAGTTTCGCCCACTCTAACCATGATTGCTTATTGTATCCTTCACCCAACTTTGACCTTTGCCTATGATGTCACCATCAATATTATCAGTCCATGAATACCAACAATTAAAAATATTCAGAAACTTAATTTGTATTCATTTACTCTTGACACAAGGCACTACCATTATTTCTGCTTAGGCAAGCATCTTTACTCCATTATGGCCCTAATTATGCCAAGCACTTGAGCATCTGCTTAACTTTAAATATGTTCTTAATCCCACCTGACTTCAATGAATTAAAGTGCTCCTCTGAAATAGGGTTTTAGGCCCAGATCCAAAAAGGTATCTAAACTCTCACTGAAATCCATGGGAAGTAACTCACCTAAACACTTAATAGAATCTGACTCTTAGTCTTCTGCTACATTTCTTATAGCCAGCAAACAAAGCTACTCCATTTTTATCTCTTGCAGCCCTCATAACGCACTAAAGATGATTCATTGCAAGCATAAGAATGCATTATCTGTGGTCTAAGCCAAAATGTATCCATATTACATAGCGTTTTTGCCATGTTATCCCTATTCTTCCTGTTTTCATTATGAAAAACATACAAAATGATTGTGACATTCCTCTACCACTCATTTCCTCTCTATGCTAATTGAAAATGACTCAAATACCCAGTGAAGTGCCTGTGTGTCAGAGCTATAATTAAGCTTGCCTAAACGTTTCCATTCTGAGGGCCCAGTTTCAGTTATTCATAACTTCCTTAAACTTTCACCTTTTTGATTGAACTTTTTCTATAGCTGGTTTCTTTCCAAGAGTCACTATTTTTGGAAAGTCTGAGCATGAGTTGAGTGAAAATAAAAGTCCACTTTTCCCCATTATTAAAAACAAACCCCTGACAACTTGCTACCATCTTTAGAACAGACATAACTGTCAAATGTTTTCAGGTAGAAAGCTGAAATTTGGCAAAGAGATGTTCCCTAAAGAGAAAGAGTGCCTTTCAGTGTCATCCTGGAAATTGATTTTGATTTATCCAATTTATGTGGGCTTAAAGATTTAAAGGTCACTTACATGGAATTGTTTTGCAGTAATGATACCTAATTTCTCTTTTTCATGACTAAATCACAAAGTAGTTTGCAGAGGAGGCCAGTATCATTGTCCCTATTTTATCAACCAGCAGGCTTTTGTCAGAGTTAGGAGTGAAGCCCAGGCTTCCTGAGATCTGGTCCAGTGGTCTGTCCCCCTGGGTTCCAGCTTACCAAGCGCTCTAAATGGAAGTGAAATGCACTGCATGTATACACATCTTGTGCCAGTAGAAATTTTCATATGTAGTTAAAAGAAAATCTTCAAAAATGTTCAACAAACATTATATGTAACAGGCAAGGTCATGAGAAGAGTTTTATTTAGTCACCGTAGTGAAAACATAACTTAGATAATGTGTAATGCACAGAACAAAAGTTCCTTCACTGAATGGTTAGGATACAAGTTGGTGCTGGAAGTAGTGTGGCAGCTTTCATAATCTGTTCTAATGAGTGGTTACAAATAATAATCTCACACCTGTTTTGTTCACTTAGTATTATTCAGTCTGAATATTGTATAACAGTTTGAAGGCCTGCAATTGAAAACTCTCTAGTAGGCCTCACCAGGCAGGCAGGAATTAACACAAGGGGGTTATTTTCTCGTATTGGGTTCTTGGATCTTAGCTTTCTTAGTTTTCTTTGAAAATCCCACCAAAGGTTTAAAGTGCATTGAATTTAAATAGATGAGAAGTTTCATTGCTGCCAGTAGAATTACTCATGTGCATAAGGTCAGGTGCTGGATTGGGACCTTGGTACATACTGTATTTACTTGAATAGATGATGGTCCGGACTATAAAATGAACCCCAATAATTAGTTTTTATACATGTAAAATTTATAAGTTTGTTATAATTTTCCAGGTATAGAATCTAATTATTGGAGGTTCGCCCTGAATTTGTCCCCCTCCTACAGCAAGGAAAATAAATCTAGGAGTCAGATTGCTGTCTGCTTCCCCCCAAAATTTTGCCTTGGCAGCCCTTCCTCCCTCTCCTTACTGTTAGACCCTGCTCTCCCTGAGCACATGGAATTGAAAAGCAAATTTGAAAACAATGATCTTGAAATTAGGTCAAAGGTGGAAATGAACCATGCTCGCCCTATTCTTTCCAGTAGCTCTCCTACCTGGGGCATA